TTCAGCACGTTGCTCCCGTAACGCATAAACGTCGATATAATTTATTCAACCTGTCGTTTTAGTGATCTCAACGACTCACATCCTTCCCTTATCAGTGACCCGAATACGAACCCCTCTTTCTCTCTTTCTCTTTCCCTCCCATCGTCTCTTCAAGCTCTCACGCCTTAATTAGTCGCGCGTGGCTAATAATCCGCCCACGTCCGATGGAAATTATTTCATAAATAACAAAACGGATGTACGGTTTTTTAATTATCGAGTTTGTTAAAATAAATGTCTAAAAAGATGATTACGAAATAATATAGCAGCGCTCAAAAATTAAATCTATTAAATAACTTTTTGCTTTGTGTTTTGTGCGGTTTTGTATATTAGTAAAGGAACGTCGAGCGATTTGCGTTTCGCTCAGAACATTGCGGCTTTAATGTTAATCTCGAGAGGCGAGGAGTAGTGACATTTCGCGGATGGGAGATGGAATCCTAGATGCGCGTGTCTCGCGATTGCAGAATCGCGGCACGTCGCGGCATTAGCATAAACTCTTTGTTCTCGGCGACGAATGCCTAAGTCGGATTGCGCCGTTCGATCGCTCGATATCGTCTCGGCCCTAATGCGTCGGTATGCGCTTCTCCTTGGTAAACCACACCGAACGACTAAAATGTCGACGCGGAAATTTCACGCGGGCCGAGATTTTATGAAGTGACGATGTATAAATATCAGCGCGAGACGAAGATAGAAAGTATTGAGAATAAAAGCAGGCGGCCGATTATTTGTTACCAATTTTTATAATAGTGATTTACATTTGTTTCATAATTTAGTATTATTTTTGACATTGAATATTATTGTTCCTAAAATAATTTCTTGAAAAAAGAATATAACTTTATATAATATATGATTCATCATTTACTTAAAAATATAACTTCGTACATTAAAGGGCAAATTCTCCCTCGTGCACGAGGCGAGCTAGGAAAGGAAGCGAGTGATAATCTCGGAAAGATATCTGTCAAAGTCACAGAATATTGCATCGATTTGTGCGCAGGGGGTACTGACCTTGTGTGTTTCTTGCGTACACGAACTTGTTTTACGCGTGACCATATGGTCGACATGTGCATTCTCGGCTCTAACAGCCGCACGTGTGCAGCAGGATGCGGCCGCGAACGAGCGTGAATAATCGTTGGAATCAGCGCGCGGCCGTCTTGGTCATTGTCACTTGTCGTTTACCACTGTCTAGCGAATTCAAAGCAGATCGAGCAATTCAGTCTATTTTATACAAGCCATTGAACAATTCCTACAATTTCTTGGACATATCCATATAGTGACTCACCGCGCGATTCTCCTAAAGAAATATTTCTTCTTCATATACGGATCTTCAATTAAAAAAAATATCGATTATACTCTATAAAAGACTTTCGATATTACTTTACTGTATAAATGGATCTATATGTGTCCATTGATGAAATAAATTCTGAAATATGATTCGGATCTCGAGTAAAATTGCGACGAAGGTCTTATCGAATCATTACTTATTTCGAGATTCTGGAGAGTCGACGTGGAATTTGTTTATTCGACACTTCGAGCGACGGTTTTGTGCGATATCGTTAGCGTCACTGCAGATCCAGTCGCTATTGAATGCAACTTTGAAATAAGCGCAACGCGAGCGACCGACACAGACGTTGCGAGGAGCGACGTAAGTCTTTCCGGTTTCTACTCGAGTAATGGTGGTAGTAGGAGCAGCAGCGAGCAGCGAGTACGAGTACCCGTAATCCGTCCTGCGGCGTAGTAGTGACCTTTCAGCCTCAGGATACTGCCTACCTTATGCAAGCCTTTGCTGCATGCGGCAGCGGCGTGTCTGCGGTTTCATTCACAACGAGACGCACGCGAGAATCTCGCCGCACTCGGTTCCTGTTAGCACGAATGCTTAAGTTTAACAGGCCGATACTTATCCGAGTGCTCCACGAGCACTGGCTCGCATTAACTCGAGCGAGCAGGAAGCATTTAAAATTTAAATGCACACGCCGATACGTCGCGATAGCGAATTTATATTACGGAGATAAAGTAGTTAGTTTTCCAGAAATATTTGTTACGCTAGCGATATCATCGAAATTATTTTAAACTTTAATTTTGAATCTTTACTTCAATTTTTCAAATGTATTTCTAATATTTAACACGATGCTTTGATAATTGCAACTTTCTAATTGCACATCGGGAAGGCACATCGTGAATCAGCGATAAATTTGATAATCGCAATTGTGTAACTGCAACTCGCTGGTTAGGCAGATTGCGTCACGTATTTTCACATCAAGTATATAATCCGGAAATGCATGGTTATTATTTTTTGTTCGCGAGATATTACCTCAGTATACCGTATAACATTTCGCAACGCTGACAAATTCGTTATGCGATTTTACGGTCCGGTTCTCTTGATTCAACGGCCGCGAAATGGATCGTGTATTATTAATCTCCCTCTGTCTGGTTTGTATTCGCCGGGGCTAAATGACTGCTCGACTGCGTGGGAGCCTAATGAAATACAGATACACCGGTGTGACAAGGGCTAAAGACTGTGACTCACGGTCATGCCCGTATGGTCGATTGAGCTGCTTCATAAAATTCGCCCAAGGATCGACCATGAAATTAATATCTTTAATATCTCACTTGTAAGATTTAATAATATAACAACTTTAAATTTTATGAATAGCTTATACAGACTTTTATAAATTATTATTTGAGCTGCTCCATAAAATTCGCCTAAGAATCTCGACCATGGAATTAATATCTTTAATATCTCACTTGTAAGATTTATAAATAATATAACAACTTTAAATTTTATGAATAGTTTACAGACTTTTATAAATTATTATTTGAGCTACTCCATAAAATTCATCTAAGAATCTCGACCATGTTATTAATATCTTTAATATCTCACTTACTGTGAGATTTATAATATAACAGCTTTAAATTTTATGAATAGCTTACAGACTTTTATAAATTATTACTTGAACTGCTCCATAAAATTTGCCTGGGAGTCGACTATGAAATTAATATCTTCTATATCTCACTTGTTGTGAAATTTATAAATAATGTAACAATTTTAAATTTTACCGAATGGCTTATAAATTTTTATGAATTATTATTTGAGCTGTTTTATGAAATTCGCCTGAGGCTCGACTGTGGAATTAATATCTTCTATATCTCACTTGTGAGTTTTATAAATAATCAAACAATTTCAAATATTACGAATGGCTTACAGACTTTTATGAATTATTATTTGATTGACATTCGCCTGAAAGTCGACCATGGAATTAATATTTACTGTATCTCACTTGTTGTGATTCATAAATAATGTAACAATTTAAAATTTTATATACGAATGGCTTATTTTCATGAATTATTATTTCTAATCGACGGAGTTTCACAATGGCAATTTTTATAAGCAATTACTATTACGAATAGAGAATACTTTAACGTAATTTTTTTAAGATCGAACGGCGTAATTTCTTTGTGATGAAGTAAATGTGAAGTTTGACGGGAACTAATAATGAGTTGTGAAAAATGGGTGGGTCGTGCTTTCTGGCTACTTTCAAAAGGATATTATTAGCCATGTCAGAGGCTTTTCACAGTTCTCCTCGCAGGTGCAACATCCGGCGGGGTAGCTCCATTCGCTCGTTTTACGGCAGCTAATTGCTAATTAGGAGGTACAATAGCGGTACGCATGTTTGCCGGGAGTTTGCCGTTGTCATCACTACCGAAGTCGTCACGTTTGGTCACGGTCATATCTATTCTTGACCCTGGTAGATGAATGCAAACCATATTTGTTGACGGCAATTATGTCGGGTATTGCTTGCTGCAGTGCTTCGTTATTCTGAAAGTAGAACTCGTAAGCTCGCTTTGAAATGAGTTTACAAATAGAAAAACTGCAAACTAAAAACAATTACGAAATAATTATTACATAAATGAGATTCCTTAAAATCATAAAGCGAGTCATCATAATAATTATTATAGTTATAATAAATAAGCCTTTAAATTCTTCAATTGAAACAATCGATAAAAATTTAACTGGAAATGCAGCTCTCAAACTCTTTTTTTTCTGTGAGTATCGCGATGTAATTTGATGGCGAATTAATGGACAACACCATTTATTGACGGCGAAATTATATATGTTAATAAAAATCGCGGCACGGAAGAAGTACGGCGACCGATATAGCCACCTTGCTAATGGCAGTTCAGCCGCGTGCGATAAGATATTATCGTTATCACTCGTGACGGTTCGCGATTGCGTAATGCGATGTGTACCGTCGCGTGCGTATACGCGAGTGTCTGTCGCAACGTGCATTTACGAGGAAACTGACAATGAGCCAGCGGGTTAAGAGTAAACGATAAGAATTGATAAGAATTTTTCGTATTAACTTCCCACGTACTTATAACTTAATCTGAGATTTGTAATTCTCACAATTTAATTCACTTGATTCTACTACTATGTTGCCAGACGTAGCAAGGGTTGGATCAAAGGAATGTCCCCGGATGATTCGAATATTCATCTCATTAGGAACTCTGCCCTCGGGATTTTGAAGCCAATTCGAGTGCTTTACGGTCGTTGAGCTTTCCTCGATAATTATACACGAAATCACGGCTCGAATAATTCAAATCTACGCGAGAAGAACTTTATTTGATTTTCTGACGCATTTGAAGCGACGTTGTTATAATTACATAAAACTTACTTAATTATACCGAAACTAATCGATACCGTTGATAACAATGTTGCAACTGTATTTTTAAGAATATTTATACGTATAGATTTATATACACATATTTATTTTTTTAAATATTTAAATATATGCATATACAGTTATTATTTTTTAAATGCTATTTTATCTATGGTATCTTTCGGAATATTTCTTACATTACATTATAAAGTTTCAGCTTCTAAGCGACACGTGTAACTTTTATCAAAGTACATTTGGGCTTTGATCTAGTATAATTGATCTCTAATGACGGTCCTGGTTTCAGGTCTCGAGAGAGCGGTGAGTGAGTTACCGCGAAGAGGAGCCAGGAGGAACGAGTAGTCGGCGAGCCGAAGATGCCGCTTCCGAAGCGACTGGTGGAGCCTGTGCACGTGGCACGCGGCACCATCCCTGATGACTTCCCGCTGCCATCGGAACTCGAGGCAGCCACCAATGGTACTCTGGCCAACACTATCAGGCAACTCTCTAGCCTATCGAGGCACGCCGAGGATCTCTTTGGCGAGCTGGCGAGAGAAGCGCACGGATTGAGCGATCGAGCTAATTCCCTGCAGGCTAGGATAGATCGTTTGGCCGTCAAGGTCACCCAATTGGACAGTAACGTCGAGGAAGGTACGTAAAACTTGCTTGTTTCAATTTGCGGTGAACCGTGATACGAATTAACTGAAACGAGAAAGAAAGATAATAAAGTTATGAAGAGTTAAATGAAGATCCTACATAATGTTGAGGGCTTTTTATTTTCTGCGCAGTCTCGTTGCAAGATATACACATGAGGAAAGCGTTCAAAAGTTCCGTGGTGTTCGACCAGCAAGTCGTCTCCAGGGACACCATGCCGACAGCGATGCTGGAAACGTATCACCAATGCGACACGCCGCCGCCCCTGGACAAGCTTAATATTTACAGGTAATTAGCGGCGTCATTTACATTAACTTAAATAGTTTAATTTGGAAATGAATGGGATGTTAATTATTGCCTTAACTTCAGGGAGGATGGCAAGGACGGCTTGAAATTCTACACCGATCCGAATTACTTCTTCGACCTGTGGAGTCAGGAAATGCTCAAAGACACGGAGAAGAAATTGCACGATCGAGGAAAGAAGGTAAGAATCTTCGACATAATAATACATTCAAAACCGCACCTCGATAACTATCGTATTATTTATAACATCTGTGCTATCGTATTTAGAATACGAATTAGTCGAGTCTGAGTCTTTGATCGTTGAAGTTGTCGAGGTGCGCGAATTCGTAGACCGAACTAGTTTCTTATGATTATTTAACGTGTCTAATGCTGCGAATTCTAACTACTGAATTACTGTCCCCTTCGTTGTAGAGCGAGTCTGAATATGCCGAACCGTTCAGAGAGGCAAGTCGATGGTTTGGATCTTTGTAGTTTCTTTTTAATCTCTCTTATCCCTCTTACGAAACATCCAATAGTGTCTCAGTGAATCGATCGATCGTCACTTCACTCTCATCGCATAATCACCCTCTCTGTGGTTTTTTTTTCTTTCATTAACCGACCTTTTTGCGCGCTGATATAGAGACTGACGCTCGCTAGATGCTCGCTTTCTCGAAGTTCTGTAGTTGTGCTAATAGCCACGTTTTCTCAGTGGCGATATACTTTGCGTAGATCGAATGCGAATAGATTTCTTTGTCGAAGTCTAAGTCTGTCGACTCTCTCGACGCGGCGGGATCGAGAAGGGAGAGCGCAAAAGTTCCATCTACGCAGGGCCTGATTTTGACTCGAAGTCCTTCCTTACCCTTTCCGTAAAACTGAGTTGTGTTTTTTGATACTCGATACAAATCTCTCACACCTACCGTCACTTTGTGAATCACTTATGTAATGCCGTTCTTTGCAATTTTCATGCAAGTTTTGAATGTACTTTATAGAACTGCGTTATACTCATCATCCACCGATTCATCTTCGATCGACACCGGTACCCACACGATCTCGATCGTCTCATCGTCCATTTCAGGATTGTCTCATCTCCACTTTACCATATTTGTCGCGTAGAAAATAAAAGTGTTGTTATGAACAGAAAGAATAATTTTTTTCTCATAATAATAGATACTTATTGCGGAATTTAAAAATGATAATTTCGCGGAGGCATCACTTTTATTTTCTACACATATTACATTCATATCCCACTTAACTATTGATCCAGTAAATTTTAATTGGCTTAGAAATAATTTATAACCATCCAGTAAATTTTAATTGGCTTCATTTTTAAATAATTTTAAGATCTTTTTTCCTCCAACTCTATACAAAATTCACCAAAACGTCCTTAGTCGCTGGATCAATCGTCGGATTGTTTTCAACTTGAACCGATTGTGCTTGACTTACATGCGATGCACCTTGTTCGTTGTCTCCTTCGTGTATACATTTTAAATTGCTTTTTTTCTTTCGCGAAACAGCCGCACAGGCCTCGGAATGAGGGTGGCGGCGGAGGAGGCGGCAGGCACAAGAAGCGCGTGAGGCAGCCGCATAATACGAGGGAACGGCAACGGCAACTGGCAGTCGGCCATGGCGAATACATCATGCCGACGCAGGCGGTGCAGTACAGGGCGCCACACAATGTACAGCCCGACGATGCGTTACTGGGAATAGTAATGACGGATCCCAGGCCGCCCAGACCCAACAGCATCGAACTGCGACGAAGCTACCCTCCAGAAGAACAGCATCTCTACAGCCCGCCGTCTTCCGATCTCTACAGGTGGATATATCGCGACAACGTAGCTAACAATGATATAACTGTTAACTCTAAAATAATAATAGTCCAATAATAGTACATTAATAATCAGAATACTTTTTATTTCTTTTTCTTCTTCTATTTTACTTTTTTATTGCTAAGGACTCTGTAGATTCTCCCGTGCTGTAGAATCAAAAAATTTATACTTTTCTATATAATTAATGATTTTCTCTCGCTGCAGGGGAACGAACTATATGACTCAGGGCTACGATGATAATCCATACGGTTCACATTACGCCTCGGGTCAGGGGCCGCCCGGCAGCGAGGCGTATCAAAGTCCCGGCGGTCAAAGCACCCCAAGTCGGGGCGGTAGGTCGCGACCGTCACAACCGCCACCGGCTCCGCCGAGTAACGCTTCCAGCAATTCCACGCCCACGGTGGCGTCTGCCAACAACACTCCCACCAGGGGAAGATCCATGAGCACCGGCAGGGACACCCTACCGCCGCCACCACCACCACCAGGAGAAACCATGTCTCCTCCTTCCATGAATGGTATGTTAGTTATGTTAATTTATCATCACTTATAGTAATCGTATTTGAGTGAGTCTCTTTAAAAGATAACAAGAGTAATAATAACTTATTTTGCACGATGCTTTCAGGTTCCATACCTCCGCATTTGCTGAACAGGAGCGGAAGTCGGTCGGACAGTCCTCTACCAAGCCAACGTTCGACACCAACACCGCCGAATCATTCAGGCCAATTGGGAGCGGACGAGACAGATCCAGCACCCCAGGATCTTCCGCCACCCCCGCCCACCCCAGATCCCACCCCGCCAAGACCCATCTCACCTCCGTGCAACATCCCGCCACCTCCACCACCGCCGCCTCCTCCACCGGTCGTCAACGGACCCACGGCGCCGTTACCGTTGACAAACGGCGATATCGCGAAGATGATTGCAACCAATCCGCCGAAGCTCAGGCCCCTGAAAAGCATTGTGGATGGCCAGCTAAAGAAACCCGTCAACCCGAATATTCCATTGGTCGACCCGCGAAACGACTTGCTCAAAGCGATTCGCGATGGTACATTTATACCCATATTTTATGATTTTTAATTACGTTAGTTAATTTGTTAATTAATTAAGAAGGAGTAAAACAATTTCGGATCTTATAAAATCTTTAATACTTTGAGTAACTCTATGTTAATGAAAAGTGTGTAACATTGCTTTAGCCAAGACATTTGTCTTTCAGGCATAAAACTGCGCAAGGTAGAGAAGATCGAGCAGAAGGAGGTGGAGCGCGTGAATGCGCTCAACGACGTCGCGTCCATCCTGGCGCGTCGCGTTGCCGTCGAGTTCAGCGACAGCGATTCGGCATCGGAGAGCGAGTGCGACAGCGAAGGCTGGGGTGAGCAGGAGAGTAATCTGGCGTGACCCAACTCCCTGTCATCCGCCGCCGTTTCTGCCTCTTAAGGAAACGGCCGATCAATTCGTTTCGATGCTCCGACGCCACCCTAACGTTCTCCGGCGCTGTAGCGAGCCGATCTATTCTGTTTCTCGTTTAGTATCTCCATGGCCGATATCTCTCTTCCGTGGAATCGCAAAACGCTCGCGCGCTTTAAACATTATGTATTTAGATTATGTAAATTCTGAATTGTAAAAGGATAATTTTGCACAATTCTCTCAACGGAGATCATTCGTCATGGAGAATACACAGATATGATCTTAATTTATTATTGCTCGTCGACGAACAAAGACAATGTAAATTTCATTAATGGAAATGATTGTTCGCTCCTTTCATCGCGTTATTAATATGAGAAAAATTGAAGTGATATCGATATTCACATTATATTTTTGCTCTATTAATCTTCTGTGTTGAGACATTTATTCTGCAAAAAGATACAAAGTATCACTCGATTGAAAACAGTGGAGGAGTCGAAGAAAACAGTGTTAAATTTCTGAGAAAAAATTCTTGAAAAATATATTTGAGTTTCGACGATTTCATGGAATCGTCAATCATGACATCGTCCTTTTGTCTCACAAGTCAAGTCGCAATATTGAACCGACTGGTCGGTCAATCAGTCGAAAAAGCAATAGCACTGTTTAGTTTAATCATTCTGTTCTTAGGACGTCCTCGAAGACCTGCTAATTGCGGCCAATTTAATCGCGAACGTAGTTCAACCGAATCGCGATTCGAATCTTGAGTGCCAGCGAACGGAGCACTCGTGAGCTCGTAAAAAAAAACAATGCGAAGATCACGCACTAGTTAATAGTGTAATTCGTAGATCCAGGTTGTAAGTTTCCTGGAACGGCAGGAACATCCTGGAAAAGGCGGCTGACAGCTTGAACGCCACATTTATAGTCTTTTTAAAATACTGCGCTTTAAATTAAAATACCTTCCGCATATTTCCGGCTTGTACGGCTCTCTCAGAGATCACAGTTTATATAGGTATTGATAAATATATATAACACATATATATTATTTTATATGTTATCATTATATAATCACTGTATAAATTCATCCATCAAGAAAACATAAATTTCTATAAATTTATATGAATTTTCGGAACGAGAGAATGTAAGAAGCATTAAATAAGAAAAGGTACAGACTAGATTTCTACGCGTAATCTTGGTATTTATAAATGAGATATAATTCTGGTCATGATAATAATATTACAGGGCGTTCAAACTGTTGGCAGAAATATGCGCACACAGAAAGAAAAAGTGAACGTCGACTTGCCGAAGTCGTGGCTCACCAGGTAGTAATGACTTCCTTCCCGGCACATTCCATAACGACGCTGTACGACGGTGCATGACGATCGTTCACTCGTACACACTCATATACACGCGCAGACACACACACACATAAATAAATAATATAAGATAATAATAGTAATAATATATAAGCGTCTCTACTTACCCCATAGACGAGCGCTCCGCGTAAAATCTATCGCACTATCGACAAGGCGACGCGAGTTAAACCAAAAGGGCGCAGGGCTGGGTACTCACGAGCGAGACTGTAAGATAGAAAACTTTAATACCGAAGCTCCTCTTTCGTATAATTCTTTGTCGCGACAGCCCTCCGAAATTTTCTTATCCTCCGCCGTTTCTTAAGCCGCGATCTTCCATGTTACGGCGTCGACCCGCAAGACGATGCGAAAGTAATCGCGCTAGTTTTATGGATACACTGATTGTGAATATCTTTTATCCCCGCACGCCTCTTTTTTTCCAAACAATTTTACGCGATGCATTGTTTTGTGCATCATTGCTGTATGACAATCACGCGTACGATAAATGTCTCAGTTTTTTTTCAAGAGGAAGAAAACAGAAAGCGTTTCGTAACTCAAACGGGGCGATTACTTTTTGCGTCATTTGCGGAAACTGTTGTGTCGAGAAACCAAAATACTTTCGTTAAACGATTCGACTAAACGTGCGAGGGAGGATTAATATTTTTTGGCGTATCCATTAGCTTGTAACTCGGTGGGAAAGAAGGCGAGAGAAAAGGGTCGTAGGCAACATAACATGTTGTTAACGACGCAGGAAACACAGTTGCCAATCGGAGGGGAGGAAGAAATATGTACGATTGTGATTTATTTTGCATCGATGTTGGCGAAACACGACGACGACAATTCTAGATAAGTCGGTACGCATATGTATACCTACATAAATATATTTAAATATGTATGTGTATATATGCATACGCAGATATATATAATTATATATATATATATATAAATATATTATAGAATATATTAAAAGATATTGGTCGCGTTAAGAATTACCGCGAAGTTTCACGGCGGTGGCGAGGAAGACGAGCGTTTTTTTTTTCTCCGCCACCACCGCTATTTCCCCGAGAGTAAGGATCTGTAAATTTTCTTGTACGTACCGCAAATCTTCTGTAAGTAAACGCGAAAATGGGGCGAGCGATTCTGTTGGACCAGGTAAATGGACACCCGAAGACTTTTGCTTAGAAGAAAGCTGGACGAGTCCGGGTATTCTGGCATCCTCCTCCGTGCTTATTATTTAAATTCTTCTCAGGAAATAGTTGATTTTTATTTTCCAGAAAGTCCAGTAAGGTTCATCTTCGCGCTTCGTACACTTTGTTTCTTTTTTATTTTACAAAGTTTAATTTTTATCGCGGTGTTCGATCGACTTCGACTCGAATAAGCGTAATTGTATCAAATGCGTTGTGAGAGGGGCAGAAGGGCGTGCCGAATCATCAGCAACGACGTGTGTACATTTACATGAGTCTTCGAATATAGCTTCGGAAGCTATAATTTACAGTGTAACGATAATCAACGAGGCTTGCTGAGACGAAAAGTGAAGTGCCCGACAGCTCGAGCTTAAGTTTAATTTATTTGGAACTGGAACGAAGAGTGGTGCAGGCGATTTGAAAAGGGAAAATCGCACGATTTCGCGTAGATTAATCAAATCAAATCAATTAGTCTTTAATTTCCGATTTAGGTAATATTATTGCGCCTGTACAGCGATCAACTTTCCTGTAAGAGTCAAGAGCATTTGACTAACGAATTATGTTCATCTTTATTTCGGAAAAGTAATCGATAGACAGTGATTTCGTTCAGCCTCCTACATGAATTGTACTTCACGTCAGAAACTTTTTATTTGAATAATCCGTATTTTGCATACGAGATGCGCCAACGACTCTTTCTAACGAGATAGCTCTTTTATTTCTTTGTAAAAAAATATTTTTGAATCAATCGTTATGAAAAATTCATCGGGAAACAGTCAGTTATCAGTTTCACAGAGATGTTGGCGCATCCGGTATACAGGCAAACAGCGCGCAGTGCAGATCGAAACTAGACATAAGGACATTAGACGTAAAAGGTATTCTTAGCTATCTCGCCAATTTACGACGCAGTATTTATCGGAGGTTTTTTCTAAGGAGAAGACAGAGGGAAAAGGGGAGAGAAGAAAAGGGGTGCGAAACGGGATTCTCTTTTGGATGTAGGCTTCTCGATATCGTGCGAGTTTGTATGAACGAAATAAATATAGTTGTCACTCGTCTCAACCGCGCTTTCCGCAGGGGGGGTTTCCCGTAAAACTAAATTATTGTAAAGCCGTTGTGTACCTAATGTCCATGGGTATTCCAAAGCTTATGTAAAACGAAGTGTATGCTCGTGATACAGATATATATATATATAATAATATATATATATATTCGAGAAAAAAACGGTCGTCGGGGGATCGATCGGGATCGGTAACATCCGAGAGATGAGGAAAGAAATCGACGATTTGAGGACGGAGAATGGGGGAGGGGAGGTCTGGGGTACGAGTCGGTCTCCGGGACTCGCGAAGGGATCCATCCAGGTTGCAAGAACGTCATTTACCCACACCGTTACAAATATACGATGGTATTATTAATAATAATAAATTTGTAGCAAATCTGTACAAAGCCAAATAAATCAAAAAAATTTCGTAAATCCTCCACCCCGGATTATCTCCATTGTCGAAGAAAATCAGTTCCTTCGGATTGACAGTGATCTCACAAATCGAAAAGCGTTTCCGAATCTATCACGCCTCTGGCATGGCGTACCGTTATTTTTACCTTAATCCGCAATCTCCTTTTGTTTCGTCGTGTCCTTTTGCTTCGTTTAATGTCCGATTGTCTTGCGAACTATTTTGGCGCGATTTTCGGCGAGGGCATTCACACCGTGGGCATGTGTAATAAAATTAACATTTTATTTGAAAAATCGAGACATACACAGATGCGAAAACAATGATAGCACATTCTGGTAGCACCGA